CGTCCTCTGTTATAGCATTTATGATTACAACGTTACAAGTGATGGCAATCGTCTTGACCAATTTTATGTTCAACCATTATGGCATCACTAGTTGCCTCCACTTCAAGTGGATTTAATAAGGCGTAATCACTTTCACCGCAGGTTCCAGATGCAGTTTGCAGGGCTTCCGACTTTTATTTAGCCGTCCTCCATCCCATTTGTCACCTGTTTCTTGTTACGCATGCAAATCACAGTCTGGCTGTCTGAAATATGGTTGCCTATGAGCCTTCAATTCTGGTCCCCGTTTAAGTCATATTCGAGGATTTCGGACCGGTGATCCTCATGCCTAGACATCTTCCTCCCTCTAGGCTTCAGACCCATGAAGCATTTATCCTCTTGCTTATCCTCACGCCATTCTTCCTCATTCGCAGGGGCCCTGTGTCCGGCCTTATTCGAAATTGCTGGTTTGGAAATTGACTGCTTCCCTACTACACTCACGTAAAGCACACTCTCCCGTTGACAGTCTCATCTAATCCTAAGGTTCTAGTCAGTTGTGCATGTGTACGTTGGTTGGTAACCGCCCTAGTCATGAATGCCACCTGTAACTTCTCTCTACACACACACTGGGGACCAACTGATATTGTGCTCTCCAGCTTGGTTTCAAAACCCTGATGAAATCGAAGTTGGGCTAAATTTGAGCTTAGCAACAGTAATGGTGTACAATTTGTGTGTTTCTGACCCTGCATTTCCTATCTAACAAATAGACCCACACTAGTAGATTTTCAGGCTGATTCCACGTTTTACACCTCTCACAGCAATCGCCTTTCCATTTTCCCCTAATGATGCTCTTCTTGGCGGTGTCTCTTGCTCTTGCTGAATAGATGTTCTTGGTCAAAATCGTGTTTTAGTTGTCCTAGGTAGTACGCAAAATGCTCTCGAAAGATAATAATTTTTGACATTTAGTATGTTTTATTAAGTCCAGATGACTTGAGCAAGATAAAAGACTTTAACAATAGCAGTCGAGTTTAATCACCTAGTCAGTTTGCGCTTACCCTTTGGTTGCAGCTGAGAGCTGAGAAATATTGGTAAGTAACCATTCTCCATCAGATGAGGCAACAATACCAAACTTTTTTCAGAATCAGTTAAGAAATTACAAGAGGAACGTGGTATCAGAAGGAGACGTTCCTCGAGTACGAGGGCCATACTACAGCGTAGGCAGGGAAGAGTCGCGAGGCCGAAGTCAAAAAATCCCCGAACTGACTCACCGATCCGACATGCAGACCGAAGCAGGCATAGACGACCCAAGCGTCCAAGACGGTTGGAAATCATAAAGTTGGCTAGGGGCGAAGGTGAATGTATGAAATGTAATGAATAAAGTTATTTATGGGTTAGGGGCTAGAAAGCAAATTTAATCTAAGTGAATTTACGAAAAGGTCTCACCGAAAACCAAAGGAAGGTTGCTGCGGAGTTGGAGGGTTGGATTGTCTGAAGAAGTCCTTGACTCACCACCCTGCGAACCTGAGAAACTTGCGCTAAGCTTTTGCCTGTACTGTGATAGGCATCATCAGAGCAAGAATCCATACTTTACGAAAATGTGCAAAAAATATACTAAGGCAAGAGAAAAAATGGTCGGCTGCAAAACGTAATCACTTCTCTATACACCTATCCTTGTGATCTTAATGGGGCATCATATTACTTGATTGGCCACCTCAAACTTACTCTACATGAATGCAGATGAGTGAAATTACTACATGAACAAGAAGTGGATTTAGTGGCAGATGTTTCCTCACATAAATAAACTGGCGATCATATAAAGTTGATTTATATTCAACTATGTGCTATTGTCTATTCTGTGTATGTAATGTTAATGTCATAAGAGATTTAATAGTATTAGCTAGAATAGAGGCTAATTCAGACTCATTATCTTACTTCCTTCTCTCTCCCTCTCCTTAAGCCTATCCAACAGCCTATATCCTCCTATCACTTCTTCCCTGTAACAACTTATACCCTGTTTATTTCTATGTGATGTGGTGTGCTTCTTTCACACCTCACGCTGTCGTTCTCACCCCCTCTACCCTTATGCTTGGAATGCTGATCAGTCTGCCATATTATTACGCACTCCTCCTTCCCTAGATCTTATCACAGTGTCTTTCTTGTCCCGTAAGATCTGTCTGCTCCCTCCCTTGTTCACGTATTTCATTCGAACCTTGCTACTCCATCTGTGCTACTTGATAAGTTATTCGCCGTACCCTGCGTCTGGGTGACTAATTCGAGGCTAAAGCCTCTGGGTAAGTCTCATTGTCACGCCTTTGCTACATGAACCACGCCTCTGGTAAAACCTGCCAGC